TTCCCTCTTCTACTATCTAAGAACTTCATAAGTTCTATTACAGTTCTACCACAGAGGGATTTTGTGATACTATTTGTAGTTTTGACTGATTCCCCAAACTGTTGAATGGAATGTAGATCTCAAGAGCAGATATGGAGCATTCATTTGGCTTTCCAGTGATCAGGAAGAAAATAGCAGCTGGAACTCAGGACTCTCACCAGTGAGGAAAGAGCATAGCCCCAAGAAGTAATGAGGAGCACAACTATTCTTGGGGATTATTAAACCTGGACCTAAAGTGAGTTTAAAATGCCAGTTTCTGGTTGGGGCAAGTCGAAAGGTGGCAGTGTACTGAGGAGTACAGAGGATGTAATGTACACTTAAATTTTGTAAGTCCACCTGGTGGAAATGGGTAATAAAAATCTGGACTCAAGCTGGGCACTGGTGGCTCACATGTGTAATCCTACTCAGGAAGGCTGAGGTCTGAGGACGTTCAAAGCTGGCCTGCCAAGAAAAGTCTGTGAGACTCATCTCCAATTAATCACAGAAAAAAAACAGAAATGGAGCTGTAACTCAAGTGATGAGTGCTAGCCTTGAGCAAAAGGAGCTTAAAGACAGTGTACAGTCCCAGGACTGGCAAAAAAAATAAAATCTGGAATCAAGAGATTGAAGTAAGCCCGGAGTTTACTGATTGTGATTTGCTAACTGAAGTTTCAGGATTCTGAAAAGTCTTAGAATGGTGTGATGTTCGGAAATTGCAATGTTTAGGACTGAGCCTGGAAAGGAACAGTACTTACAGATTAGGGAAAGAAAGAGAACCCACAAAAGCATTGAAGAGGAACAGCACACAAAAAAAGCCACTGCTTGTGTTCTGTATAGCTAGGTTTAAGTTTTGTTGTCACATATTGCTAGAGGACAAGCTGACAAAAATCAATCCCCTACTGGATTTACTGTGCTGACATATAGAGGTCAGTAATGAATCTAGTGAGAGTATGTATATAATACAGAAGTCACAATGGATTTGAAAAGCAAATAAAGAAATTTGGAAAATAGAGTAACATTTGAGAGGTCTGCCTATGAAACAGATATAGGATGGTAATTAAGGAGAAATATGGGAGCCAGAATCCATTTGATGAGAATAGCATGTTCATCAGGTAATACTAAGAGCCAGATTTTTAAAAATGCAAACACCAAGTAAAAGTTCATGAACAAGTTAGAGGAGAGGGATCTAGCACAAACTGAATTACTGGTCTTAATAGGAGCATTGCCTCCTACACAGGAGACAAATATAGATGTATTTGTGTACATGTCTGGCTTTTAATTTTCCTGTGAAGCAATCAGGTGATGATGGGGTTAATAGAGTGAGAGTATAAAGCAATTTTTCGAAAAGGACTGAATAGAGAAATATGATCGCTGGCAGTGTTGAGTGCTTGATTCAAGGTAATTGTGAATCTGCAGTGGTACAAACCTACGCAGATACATGATTTTGGCTGTTAGGATGCAATAGTAGTGTTGGGCTCACCAAGGTTGATATCTGCCAGGCTGACACCCAGGCAACAGCATATGAGCTTACATTATTGACATTTGCTGAAGTCTAGTCAACCCAAGACCACCCTGCGCAAGCCTTCATCTGGCAAAATCATCTATAGACTTGCAAACAAAAAGCACACACCAAGAGAACTGGAATATGGTACACTCTACAAAGAACTTGGGAAGAGAATCTTTTATCAGGTTTTAGTTTCTGCTCAAGGATTCCCAAGAAGTTCTAAAGTGACCACTTCTGAGTAGAATGCTGTCCTGTAACAAGACTTTAAAAAAGGTGCTGCTTTGCACTGTTCACAATAGCTAGGATATGGAAACAACCCAGATGTCCCACCACAGATGAATGGATCCAAAAATTGTGGTATCTATACACAATGGAATATTATGCAGCCATTAGAAATGACAAAATAATGACATTTGCATGGAAATGGATGGAGCTAGAAGAAATCATGTTGAGCAAGGTAAGCCAAGAGCAAAGAAACAAACGGTATATGGTCTCCCTGATAAGTGGATGTTAAATCCAAAATGTTAGGTGATAAGACAAAATAGGACTTAAGAAACAAAGAACTTTCACTCATCTGGTCGAACCACTATTAAATAACCCCATGCTGCTGATCACTTGTATGGTATATATGTGTACACCAAGAAGACGACACAGAACTAGAGGGAATCAGGGAAAAACATACAACAGCGGGACCCATTAGCTGCACAGGACATTGATCAAAATGAACTAAGCAACTTAATGGCAGCGATGGGAGGGAGGGAACAAATGGGAAAGAGGGAACAGCTGATGCAAAACAAATGTATATACCACCCAATGTGGAAGAAATAACTGTATCGCAAAGCTCATAGAACTCATAAATGTTATAGACTGTGATAATTTGCTCCAGGAAAGTTAAAATGTGTTTGTGACTTTAACTGAACATCACTATCCCACAATGTTGTGAAATTTGGGAAATTATGTAATCACTTAATCACAATTTTAAAAAAAAGGTGCTGCTTTGAGTCAAGGGCAGTTTAGCAACTAGGTATCAGTAATGAATAGAGGCAATTCTGAAGTGTCACTGGTAATGAAGCAGTTGATTTCACTGATGGCATTTCACAGATATTAAACTTTGCAAGAAAATGACTCCTGGACTTTGTAGCCAGCTCGATTGTCCTGATATTGAGATGCTTTTTCCTTTAAATTTAAGCTTTCAGTCATCAACATTTTTACTTTTGTACCAAACAGTTTCCTCTCGCTAAATTGATTTAAAAAAAGAGTCCAACTTAACTCACTCATCTGTCCCTCCTACATATAAAATTTAAGAAAGTATAGACTTAGCATTTTACTTTTTGTTGGTCATAGGACTTGGAACTCAGGGCCTATGCACTGTCCCTGAGCTCTTTTGGGTCAAGGCTAGTGCTCTACCTTTTTGAACCAGAGCACCACTACCGGATTTCTGGTGATTAACTGAAGAATCTCATTAACTTTTCTGTCCTGACTCTTGCTTCGGACTGCAATTCCCTTACCTCCTGAGTACCTAGGATTACAGGTGTGAGCCACCAATTCCCACCTACCATTATTTTTTCTAACAGTTCTCAATCTCGTGACCTTCCTGTGTTTTAGACCAAATGACCTAAATAAAGCCCTTGAAGTTCCAACACACTCTTTTTGAGTTAACCCTAATACTTCCCTTAGGAATATGTATTCCACCGCGCCACAAACCCATATGTTGAGGTTTCAGTTGGATGCCTGGTAGATTTTGGCTGGAAGGGACTGGCAGAGACAGCATCTGAGCTGATGGCATGACTGCCAAGACCAGTGTTTGTACTTTGTTGCCAGAATACATGTGGTACTTACTGGCACTCATCCTTGCTCACTGGAGACTTGTATTACCCAATTCCTACAAGACACAGCTGGCTTCTGGTGGCTCACACTTGTAATCCTACTCAGGTGGCTGAAATCTGAAAATTGCAGTTTGAAGCCAGTCCAGGAATGAAACTATTTCCAATCAATCAGCAAGAAGCTACAAGTGGAGGTATGGCTGGAGTGGTAGAGCACCAGAACTAAATACAAAAAACTAATGGATACTGTCCTGGTCCAGAATTCAAGCCCCAGTACCAGCATCAAAATAAATAAATAATAAAATAAAATGTATCCAGTTGTCCATAGCTCACACCTGTAATCCTCATACTTGTAATCCTACTCAGGAGGCTGAGATGTGAGGATCACTGAACAGTCTAAAGCATATGGAGTTAGCATTTCTTAGTGTGCATCTAACATAAGGACTGTTATTAGCATAACTACAAGTTATGCTAATAGCTTACGTTGTTTCAGGACCCATTTTGAAAAAAATATTCTAACTATTCTAACTTCTAAAACCTCCAATAACAATACTCTCAGGTTACAATGTCATATATTTACTCATTTTCCTGTGTAGATTTATTTGCTACTGAAGTAAACATTTATTCAGTAAGCCTAGTGTTGCCTATCCTATGGTTTCTCTGAATTTAAACATTCAAATAAATTCATTTCATACAAAGTTCAACAATAATTCTTTAAAACACCAGAATACCACTTAAAAACTTAAGAGGAAAGAAAACTACTGTTTTATTTTCAAAATCTATTTTAATTCAGACTGAACAAACAAGCAGAAAACTGAGAAAGCTAACAGCATTAGCAGACACAGATGTACCAGATGTAAAATAATGGGTTATTAACAGAACTATTTACATGCATATTTACAAGCAACCCTTTTATACATGTTTTATTTTTAAGTTAGTTGGAAAAAGATTTGACATTAGGTAAAAATATTACTTACATAGGGCCGAGGTGGTACCACATTATAGTAAAAGTATTAGAAAAGACATCCTCAAGGTGTATCAATTATAAAGCAGATGAAAACTTGAATGGACAAGTATCTAGTAAAATTCTCTAGTAAAAAAGTTAATGCAACCCATGCTACAAAATAAAAAATGAGAAAGCCATATAAATAAAGCAGGTAACATTCTAAGGCTGAGGATCATGAAGTTAGTCAGGTGAAACAAACAATGATTCTTGAATTGGAATAAGTCTTCAGCAAAGTCTTGGTTTTTGGGTGGGAGTTCTAAGTTCTCCACCTCCCCTCCCTATATTTAGGACATTTCAAAAGCCCTTGGTATTAATTAACATCTATATCAGTAAATCAGTTGTTGATATATTCCAAGACTTTACGGCTAAAGGTATTCATGATTATGATTAGTATTTGAAATTCAATTGAGACACAAATGTCAAACTAAAAGCTGTAAGTCATATCTAAAAAAGAATGCTACATTTTCACAGTAATATGTATTTCCAGGCTAAGACTTTTTCTCTCAAGGAAAGGAGAATTTAAAGGATAAGCATCTAACCCAGCTAGCAAAATTTACTTTCAACATTTCCTTTATTTCAAAATCGATTTTATTGCAGCCAAAACAGTGGAATTAACTGTACATAATAAACTATTTTATATATATACACATTTTAAGTTATAGGGAATAAAGTTTATTTTGGCAGATGGTGTTAAACAAAATTAAAGTTGCATACATTAGTAACATAACTCAACATCCTTAATTTGGTATAAGTGTAACATATTTTCTTGCTTTCCTGTATTCTGCTAAATCACCATACCTAAACTTTTATAAAACTGATATGCTGAAATTTAACTTTACTGTTTTCGCTTACGCTCTGATTCCAAACAAAACTTTTCATAAGCTTCTTCAATTTCTGGGTCCATCTCATCATCAATATCATCCAAATATCTACAAAACAAACCAAATATGAATGAGTTTAATGTTTTTCAATTCAGAAACTGCCTTAAGGTGTTTAGCTATATACATATAGACATGTACAATTTTGTGACTTTCCTTTGACTTAACTATAGTAAACAGAAGGCTAATTCTAGAAGAATGTAAGAGGCAGTCCTCTGAAAACCAAATATTTGAATTGTCGGAGGAGTCTGTTACTAATCAAAGATTTGACATATATGTATACTTGGACCTGAAGATTGATTTATCATAAATTTGAACCTTCCCAATAAACAATTACACTGTAACTAGAACATAATTTCAGACATACCATTTTCCTCTGGTGAAATCATTTCCCCATTTACTATTTCATTATTTTTTTTTTTGTCGGTCGTGGGGCTTGAACTCTGGGCCTGGGCGCTGTCCCTCAGCTCTTCAGCTCAAGGCGAGCGCTCTACCACTTGAGCTACAGC